TGTTATCTTTTTTGAAACTTAAATTGCAAAAAAAAACAAAGTCACACCAAATAGATCATAGACCTTGCCAATTCACTGTACCATGCATTGATTTTTCTTTTTTGACATGTATACTTTCCAATAAATTTTACCCCAATCTGTGTCACCAAAATTTTTGTGTGCTCACTGGCGCTAATACAGCCGTACGGATATTTTGAGACTGGGGTTTTGATTGGTGTCGCGTGTTATTGCCTCCGATTAATTTACTTCCCTCTATCTCGGATGCCACTGTGTGTAAAAATTCTTTTGAAAATAGCTAGTTGCGTCACAACCTGTCGATATTTACCTTATCGTGCCGAGTTCGAATCCTGATTTGCACTAATAATACAAACCCGTCCGTCTGTTTAATTATGCGTTGGTGAGCGCCATCCGTTGTTCACGCTCCCGCCCCCTTCTTACACAGACGACATTCCAAGAGCCCCAGCACTCTAGCGCCATGACCGAATTTACTTCCGCCTATATGCACTTCTGTAAACAAGCAGCATCTTCCTGTAACAAGCCAATATTTAATTTTCCACGCATGGTTATTGCTATTTCAGTTGCCTTTAATTTTAGTTTCTGTTTTGGGGTTTGGATAAGTCTATCAGCCCTCAAAACGTTAATGTCCGGTCTTGTTTTTTTTATCATCGTGTTTTATTGACTAAATTCAAGTTTGAATTATGGAATCAGACCCAAGCTTGAATAATGTTTAGACCGTTTTAAGCCATGAATCAATTTGAGAATATTCTTATGTGTTTAGGTATTTGGTGTAGATTCATACGGCCCCTATATCAAACCGCCCTTCCTTTCTGGTATTGAGTGTAACTATCATTTGTCAACTGGTGTATGATTTGCTCACAATCTGCAAAATCTGATTATTAATTTTTGCAGAGACTTCATTAATCATTTACCTTCTGACCTTCTCAGCCTTCAATTTCCATATTTGCGTCGCCCATGATTCATCTGTAGCGTGTGCGTCTTCCAGGTCTATTGGTTACAGGTGTGTGTGTGTGTATGTGCGTAATTGCGTCACGTCGCTGGAACGCCCACGTGTATGAATGCGAAGTCAGTTAATGGGCTTTTCGGCAGTGGTGTTGATTTACCCGCCATGTCTTCTTTTTCGTTCTTGGCTTTTATCTTATCCAGATTAGCAAGTAGATAAATTTGTAAGGTTTGCGTGGACAAGCGTGCCTAGTATGTACCGTTTTGGTGCGATTGAGTCTTCTAGTTCCTGAAAATGGCTGTCTTCTGAAATTATCCATCCTGAAACTATTCCATGTCCTGCCTACCTTTTAAGCTTTTAATTTTTAGGCTGTTAATGTTTTCAAAAGAACATTTCAATGAAGTAATGCACTAATGCTCCCCTGAACCGGTTGAGTCTTATTTTTAGGCCATTAAGTCACCGCCTCAGAAGTCGTTGGCATCTGTCCTTCAAACTTTAACGTGTCCCGCGTTGCGGCACGCTATTTGGTTAATTAATTTTAAACTTCTGTTTTCATGTCAATCCAGGTTGAACACCCAACGTAAAATGGAATCATGTTGTGAAATATTGTTTTTATCATAAACCAGATTCCTTTAGTTTCTATGCAACTAGCATAAATCTGCTTAAAAAGCCCGGTATGTGCCTATGACGTGATTTTGCCAAAACTCTTGGCTTTTTCATTCCCAGAATCACTGCCTATATTGACGTTGTTAAACTATTCGGGTGAGGTCTATTTCAAACAATATAATGGATGTGGTTGAATATGTCAGACAAATTTATTCATCTCTTCTATCTGCGATTGGTAGCACCAGGCGAGTCAAGCTCTGGATTTGGTTTCGGGGTCTCACTTGTGGTTAGGTGCTGGTGTGTCCTCCGTATGTGTTGTCTGAGAGGAATCATCCTGCCTTATTCGTTGAATCTAAGGTAATCAAAATTAACGTCACTGGCTGCTGGTAGTCTGCATTTCCGTGTTTGCGATAGCCGGTCTGCCCAAGACCTGTTGTCCGCATTTGTTTCATTCCCCACAACCGACGCGTTACCTAACGTTCTGAAATGTTTTGGCGTGGATCTCAATGGATTCTGTGAGCTCAGTACCCATCCAAGGCTTTGGGGTGTAGTTTGTTCTTTTTGAATTCAGGAATTAAGGTAAGTGACATTTCTCAGTCATGGTTGCGTATTCTACGGTACACCGTGGCCTTGACAATAAGTCTGGTCCTTAAAATAACTTTATAGCGGGTTGACAGTTGTTTGTACATATTTCATCTGACATTTCGTCTGTATGCAATCATGGGACTCGATTTCTCCTTCCAAACCGTTTTATGTCATGAGACTTTGTATTTGACATTACTATTTGACACAGAGTCCCAAGGATCCACTGGGAGTGTTATTCGGTCTATTGTTTGTTGTCCTTTGCTGTTAAAGCCCACCTTCGTTTATTATATGGAATTTAAGAATCTGTCTACCGCTCACCATTCATGGGTTAACCTGGTCGTACTTTTTTCATTCACCACATTCATTAAGCTGCTCTTGAATGTTTGATCTTATTCATGTGCCATGTAAAGATTAAATTTACTCAAAATTATTCTTCTAGGCCCTCCGCCACGTTATCTAAACATCTCCCTAGCGGCCTTCGGCTACACCGGGGGCAGCCGCAAGTGGGTCTCTGCGCAGACCCTCGAGCGCACAAAGGGATCAGAGGCCTTGGGCCATGAGTCCTTGTCGGCAAATACGGCATCCTATCGCCACAAGTCTACCTCTCCAGCACCTCTAAGAACTGTTAATTGTCGACCGCGTTTGATCCTCCACAGCGCAGGTTCCACCCCTTCTGATCATGAGCCTGAGGTAGGGCGTCTGCACTAAGTGTTTTTGTACCTTAGGCAAAACCTAATGTGTTGAGTAATCGGGGCACAATTACCTTTTCTGATGTTCCTTTAACTACTGCGTTTCGACTTCTTCTTTGTTTTGACGCGTGATTGTTGACCCGCTGCTCCTCGATGTGTGTCAACTACTCGAGCCTGGCGTCAAGATCATCGTCACTTTCACTGATCACCTTCCTAGTAAGCTCAAACTGGTAGAATAAAACCGTCCTCCACGGCTTTTTTTACCTTAAGTTCTGACGAGTAAACTAATGCCACTTGCTAATACGTGTGCTACATGACTTGACCTGCATACAAATAACATAGCATTCAATGTTGATGTGGAACACCTTGCAGGTGAAGTAAATCACTTGATGCTAAAACAAATGGTGCTCTGTAAATCCAGTGATGCAAAACTACCCCTAGTAGTTCAGCTTAGGTGCTGATTAGTGTTGATGTGGCTGCCAAGTATATTCCCACTTCTTCCAGATGCATCTTGTTTTCTAAGGCCACGTACTACCCCTCCCTATTGACGTAGTAATGTTTGCAGGCCATTGCAGTTTGATTGGTGAATCTAAACCAATCACCCGTCGGGTCATTGCTGTTAGAGGGTTGGGCAAAGTAATACACCATCCGACCCCACTTGAGTGCCCAGGCCATATCTGCCTTCCATTCTGACGCTAGTTGTCGTGGTATCACCGAATTCGTATCTGTGCTCTTTTGCCTAGACATCGCCCCCACCTCGCGCTTCCCCGGTTCCCTCACAAACTGGTGAAAAACAATCCGCCACGCCATCTGCTGTTACCATTCGCGTGAAGCGTGTAAGCAAATTTTCCACGCCCTGATTTTAAAGTATTCTGCTGGGTTTTTATCGACAAAATGTTTGCTGTTTATTTTTTTTTCGAAAATTCGTGTGCCGTTCAAATCTTACTGGTAGTTATTTTGCCAGTTGTGCACACGCCGATTACGAATCAATAATAAGTGAAGTTTTACAGATCTAGAGATAATGAAACATATTTTTATTGAGTAATGTAATTTATAATTATGCGCCAAAGGATCTGCATTATCTTCAAACTTACCGGTTTTAATGAAACACAAGGTATTAGTTCGCGCTCAAAGCAGTGGGTATTTCGGTCGGTGAGATCATCCTTCCTAAGCCAACCTAATCTACCCTTTAGTCGATCCACGGAGGATGATCTCACGCTACACTTTTCGTTAAGCAGTAAGGTTTCTTAAAGAGCACGCGCCCACCTCGGCCAACATTCTTTGCTGGTGATACACGATCATTTTAAGGGTAATTTTTGTCAAACGGTTATTGTCTGGATAAACTACGTCCATTCGAATTTCATGGGTTCTCCTTTTGTAATTCAATGAAGACACTGATTCTAATAGCGAACGAGGAATTTTCATTGCTCTATTCGTCTGCGACTTTTGCCGCAATCCATATTGAATTAAACAATTTGAAGTCTTATTTCGATGAAGACTTGGGTTTAACTGCAACCGTACTTTACGTACCTTTCGTATGTTACTGCTTCATGCATACACTCGTTTTTGCAAATGACCTCACCGTGCCTCTGACTTCACCTGTTTGCTTATGCCCCACCTCAAATTTAGTTCTACACTTTTCTGCATCTAAAAATGACTATGTGAGCGACGTAGCTCCATAAAGACCCACTGCATCGTTTCCTAATTTTCTCTTAGGGGACCGCGAGATTTCGAAGCTACTCTCCTTTTACCTAGCAGTAAACATTATTCACCATTCTTATTACGGACCTTCCTTAAACGTTAGTCTATATCCAACCTTCCAACAGTTAACTGTCAATCGAGTCGTTGCTTATTTTTCCTTTCGCAATTAGTCACTTAGTTTCTCTTCTTAGTACTTATGCAAATTTTGGCGGATTTTGCAAATTCTCGGGCCCAAACGGGTATTCGCATATTCCCGTGAGTGCCTACCCGCTTCGACATTATTGTATGCTGACGTGTATTTGTGCTCATGTGTGGACACCGGAATTTCCTCTGTCGTATTCTAGCTAACCTCAGTTTCCTTCCCAGTATACGGCGCGGCCCTCAGTTGGATTAATGTTAAGTATGCGACCTTTTTGTTCCAAAGTGGTAAGAAGTCTTGTACTCACTGACAACAATTGCATTTGGAAGTGTTAACTGTTTTCAAGAATTAAGGAAAAGGTGGTTCAAATATGGTATGTTATATCGTAATATCACAAACTTGATGATCGCTCCCCACCACCTGCAGCAAAAATTGCGAACATCTGCTACTAATGTAAACTCACAAAAAGGCACTATGGTGATTTTTTTTTTTCACACAAGTTGGTTCAGGATGCAGTTGAAGGTGAGCCAGTGTTAGGCTGCTTCTAGCACTTTGACGACGGCATTGTACAACTTATGCTCACACAAAACCCAGAGCTAAGAACCAGGGATTTGCCAGAGGAATTACTCAACGTTGTTTCATCATACTTGGGTTTTCTGTTTACCCCGACTAAATCTCTTTCAACCCCACACCCATTGTCTCTGCCTCCTCTTGAGGGCATTGAATTATTCGCTGGTAGTGTCTGTTTTTTCACCCGTTTAACACACTGTTTAAAGTTTAATAGAGCTTCATTTACCTCGTACTAGTACCATTTTTTAAAAAAATCTTACGGTTGACCCATTTGTTGTCTGAGTTTGTTACAATCGCTGACGTTAGTTCGCCTTTGCTTGTGTCTTCTGGCTTGTCCACTGCTTGTCCATCGTAAAGCAATTAACTTTTAGGCGTTAAATTACGGATTTTATTGTGCCTGATCAAGCCTTAGATGTGAATGGGGCTTAAAATTTGCGTTATCACTATCCTCTTGGGTAGATTTCCTTTTGGGGCAATTGCCTAATGCGTAGTCGTACGCCTTTGAGTGGCGTTTTTTTGTACACAGACGCATTTAAGAGCGATTTTGCATTCTCAACATCAAAAATATGTTGTTTTTTCTTTTTTGGACCTAATCCTGGAAAGCGTTTCTCAAATCTAAGGACCCAAAATAGTCCGAAGTTGATAGAGGGACTCCTGTTTGGATTTATGTTCAAGTATTCTCAGTGAGCTTAAAATTGGTTTCGCTTTGCAATCGCAAAATTTCCTCTCAGCTGAGCTTGTGACGCGTGCATCTCAAGCGCTAGAGCGTTATCCCTGAGACCAACAACTTGCACATGATGCCGTTCTAATATTTGGTTGATGTTACGAATCTGTGTGTGTGTGTGTGTGTTTCCCCTATTTACGTATGAAATCATTTTAATTCCCTTTGTACTTAACAATATGTGACCTTATTGCATGTTTGCCACCCGATCAAAATGAATTGCGTCACATTCTCGTTGTACACGCATGTTGATTGCCTACTTTTCACACGGCTTAGAATCCTTTCCAACGTGGTTTATTCGTCTTTCAAATGTCATGGATGTCTCTCGATTCAAGTTACCTAATCAAAACCTTAACCTAATAAGCATAATTTCGAAGGTGGATTTAGCCTGAAGATAAAATTCAATTTGTTTTTTCTAACGTATTTGGTTGTATAAACTGGTTCATTACCGTGGAGCCTTCACGAGTACGTGGATAATGGCTTTGGCTATAATCAGTGCAGGGCCATGCTGCAAATCGGCTTTCACATCAATGTTACAAGGGCCGTATTAGTATCCACGTATGAATGGCTCACGGAATCTAGGAACAGCGAAAACCACATTTATCACAGATTTGTGATAAAGGGACCACGATGCTCCGACCTCTTCGATTCTCAAAAGGTAATGACCAGTAAACCAACGCTAAAATAATGAGCTTGTCCACACTGCTGCGTTTCTTTTCACAATCCCACTTTATTTCAGCTCACAGCCAGAGCCAAATTCACGATTTTTGCTCATCGCGCGTGCTCCGTTCCAGTTACCACTAGATCAACGCTAAAAGAATGGGCGATGTAGGTATGGTGAGGTGCATGTGTCTGCGAGGTGTAACTACTATTGACGTAGTCATTCATGTTAAACTTGTTCTCTATGCCTCTATAAAGCCCCTTCCTCCGAGTATGTTTGTTTGTGTGAATTCACTCCCTCAGTTTCGTCCTACTCTGCCCTCGTTTCAAGTCGCCACATTCCGCTGCTGCATCTGTCGATGTAGTGCCTCACG